TGTAAGTAATCGATAAATGAACTGAGTTACTTTTTGAATGAAGCAAATAGTAACTGTAACTAGTTACTATTTTTCAGTAACTACTGTAGTACAACAGAGCTGATCCCTTTGGATATATTCACTTAGGAGAAACAAATAGCCAATACAAGGCCCACATTAGAAAAAAAATATTTCTTACATTTTAATAATTAGGTTTATTTTTATAAATTATATATATTAACAAATAACAATATTGTGATAAACGGTCTGCTCTAGCTTTAACACAAGCAAGCACTAAAGATCCACACAAAAAGATTTTTCTGCTTATATCTCCCTGATTAATGACTGTGTAGGTGGCAATCCAATTTCCGTTAAGAGTCAGAAAATGAGCATATAAGAGCTTGGCCTGACACTTTTTGCTTTCTTGTAAGCTTGTTTGTCATACTTTCTTTTTGTAGTTAATACTTCATTGAAGGTATAAAAGCAATATCACTGGAAATAATCTACACATAATTGGTGCAATCCTTATGAAATGTACTTACATACTGTAAGACAAATTTAAAAGGTGCAATGTACTTGTATTCTTGGTGGGATGGGTTTAAGAATATGGGTAGGTTCAAGTCTGCATTAGTCACATGGCAGGCATCTGCAATGTATTTAGGATTATAGTTGACCAGACATTACAGTTACAACATGGTGGAGTAAATTCAAATTTTAACTTGAGTGAAAGTTTATTATTTGCATGTGTTTGTAAGGCCTGACTTTAAGAATCTGAAGCAAACTTGAGCTATTTGGGCACAATAAAAATAAACATTTGTAGATTAATGATTAATTAAACATTAGACAATAACTTTCTTAATTTAAACGATACAGTGTTAATTAGGGCTGGGTGATAGGACAAAAATGCTATCTTGATAATTATTTTCCATTTTGAATGATAACGAAATATATTTCGATGTAAGTTGGTAATGCTTCCAGATTTAATAGCCCAACAATGACTGAAAGCAGAAAAATTAGAGGGTCCATTAAATGGCATAAAATATATTCGGTCAATAAATTTTCGGTGGCCGAAAATTTGATACATCTCGAATGTATCGAATTCAATACATCTCGAAAATTTGATGCATCTCGAAGGTATCGAATTCAATACATTTCGAAAATTTCATACTTCTGGAATCTCAAATTTTCGGTGGCCGAAAATTTGAAAATTCAATCAACACACTTTTAGATTCTCATTGTTGCACATTTCTGATGTGTAATTGGCTCTTAGATCAATATAGAGTTAAAAACGTCCAGAGCTTATCATTGTTATTGACATAAATTTTATTGCGATTCAATATATTATCATTTATCGGCCTAGCTCTAGTGTTATAATAATAATAAAAATAATAATAATATTAGATATTATTATTATTATTATTATTATTATTATTATTATTATTATTATACAGTGATTCTTAAATTTCTGCTTCTGAATACTGTTTGACTCCCCAGAAAATAATAAATGATTGCTTATTTGCATCTTTTGTCTGTTGAACTTGACTTTAATGGCATTTAATGCACATACGCTCCCCTACAGAATCATCCCAATTAATCTAACTTTATGAGTTCTTCACAAATTATTCAAGTCATCTGGTGAAGTTGCATTTATATTGCAATTTAATGTATATTGCAGTGAATAAAAATATAGCAATGCTAGTTTTTTTCTAAATATCGTTCAGCCCTGCCTTCAGTTCTTTTTACATACAGGTGCAATATAACTACACGCATCTGTAAAGCAATGCATTTAAGTATTTTATACAAGTCCAAACAAAAGACTTTTCTTTCACAGTCCAGACATTTGAAGAAGCAACAGAAGAAAAAAATCTATTACTACTTTAAGTGTTTTTTTCCCCTTTAGAATAAAAGGTGCAGATTAACCAACTTGTCAAGAGAAAGTGCTGAAGGTAAGAACAGACTTGTGAAAGTTTGTTAATTTGTGAATATCTTCCTGGAAAAAAAAAAAAGATCAAAGCTCTTAAATGGTTTTACGAAGAAAGGAACAAATAAAATGAATGAATGAAATAAAACCAGCTTTGCTGCCTTGGATAAAAGCTCTATAGGAAAAAAAAACAGCTAGTAGGGAGGGTGGAGGGATTGTGCCAGTGCCGCAGTGTGGACCTCCACTCATTCATTCGACAGCACACGCCTCCCTTCCCAAACTACCCTGAGACTGACTCTCAGATCTGTAAAAGCACCCGCCAACCCCAACATTTCAAACTCCAAAATGTCAACCCAGGTGATTAAATCGACAAGGCGTCCTAATCTTTTGTTACCATGAACCAAATGGCAGATAAATCCCCTGCAATCCCTGGAGTGAAACTCAGAATTCATAAATGCGAGGGCACAAACAAAGAGGCAGCGGCTTTGATAAGGAGCAGCACACCTTTGGAGCAAACTGCTGAGGTGGCAGTATTGTTTGAATAAGAATGTGCTTGATGTAATATGATAATGGCGGTGAAATGAGGATGTGCATTCAATCTCTTACAAAGGATGTTGTGGAGCATCCTTCAGTAGTGCTTGAGCTAGCTGTAAGGCTGTAAAAGGATAGGAGGTGGACAAAGAATAAGCACTGAAAGATCCCTGTGAAATATGGCTCAGCCTGATTCGAATGATATAGACAAATTACACAGCTCGCCAGCAATAAATGAGGTTGTAACGAACCTGGCAGGCTTGTCTGAATCTGAGAGGCTATTGACACCATTTAGTAAGGTAGCCCAATCAAACATTAGCAATCGATTTTCATTAACAATTAACAACTGAAGTAATTAAACTAATGCAATTTTCTGTTAAAATAGTTGATCACAGATTGATGTGCTGATTAATTTAGAATTAATGGGACTAAATGCTTTGAGTAGGTGCTAGAGGGCCCTTTCATAAAAAATGTACTAATATTTCACTAAATCAATAGTTTTTCAAAGCACTGCAATGCTATTTGTTGGGATAAGTGCTTAAATTGTAATCAAGAGAGTAAATAATTAACCAAGCAGTAAGTAAATAAATTCATAAACAAAGTATTGATATTACAAAAACATTTAAACAAACTGAGGAGTTTGAGAAAACTGAAGGGTTTGAGAAACCTGCTTAATTATAATTTTAATAATTGTATTATACATGTAATACTGGGGTAAATTACATTAAAAATACATTAAAAACATGTATAGGGTTGTTTAGACATGCTGTTTACCTCTTCAGAATCAGGAACACAGCATGGTGTGATCAAGCTCACCACAAAATGCTCTAATCTGTGCTGAAACTGTCCAGCTCAAACCAAGTTAATCCACCTAAGAAAAACAAGACAGATGGTCCCGAGCAACTGCACAGGATCCTGCTTTTATTTACCTAGTGCCTCGAGTTACAACCGTAAGCCTTGTGAAGAGGCAGCAGGCGGCAGCACCTGGCTCTCTAAAGCAGATGGGGTGACAAGATTCAGTGTTCCACAGAATGATAACCTTGCGATTCCTGGAGCGCCAAAGCAAGTGGAGCGTAGTCCCAGGGGTGTCATGATACACAGGCACACTCTCCTATGGAGATCACCAAGCTTCAATCGGCATCACATTCTGAGGCATGTCATAACCCTAAATCACACGCACACACTGGTAACTGCACACGCATAGTTCTAGGATTTGATTGCTCCCAATGTTGGAATGACCTTAGGGAACTCAACTCAGGTCGTTTGAGGAATGGTTGAAAGCATATTACTAGAGGAACATCTGAATTACCTGACAGAAGGAGCCTCATGGGCAGAGGACAAGGCGGATCTTGCTGCTACTACTCATTAACACCCATTTACTTACAACTAACCTTTTCTATTAGCCTTGGCTGCTTAAAGAGCAATTCAGGGATTTCAAGATCTCACTGACGGTGCATCACATCAAAGTTCACAACCCTTGACCGCAATCCTCTCGTCAGAGCTACGGATGGAGTTAATGCTCCACTGAACTGCAAAAGCCCTTGCACGGGTGTCACTCTGGTAGAAAACAATAGGATCACACACGTATGTGTGCATTGCTAGTCTCTAGTACATGCCCCGTGACACCTCCACATGTTTTGTGTCTTACACACACACCTTTAATATTTAAGCCTTTGTCAAGACTAAACAAGGTCAGTTATTATGGAAAGGATACCCATCCTGCACTACATTTCACAACTTAGCTGGGCTTTACTGAAGCTCTGATATAAAGCTTATATATAAACTCACACATCTTCACTTGTCACAAAGAGTCCAATTGATGGGAAAAGTATTGTATGCTACCTTATGTTACTCTAGTAGCGACTCAGATTATACTTTCTGAGAGTACAAGTGCGAGGTGAACATCGTTAGCTTATGCGATTAGTGTTTATGCATGAGTGCCTCCGCACAATAGACTCGGCCCAATGACCTACACACACTCTCTCCCATCAGCTTTTAATCCAGTGCCTCCATCTTTTCTGTGATATTCATTACAAACAAGGGGGATAACAAAAACAAGAGCTTAAGTTTTGCAAACTGGGTCACCATCATCATAATTTAGCAGAGTACACCTTGTAAACTGATTGAAATGTAGAACCAAAATTTAACCAAAGTGTCTGTTGACTTGATACTGATGATGCATGTAACAGCTCTCACGTCAGTTCCCAACATATTCAGAGTCGTTAACAGCCATGACTGAATGCGATCAAAGAGAATACATGGACTGCTTTCTTACAATCCTTGTGTACACATCACAGCATCTCATCAAAGCAACTTGCAAGCTAAACCCATTCTGGGAGAGTGGCACAGTTTTCCCAGGGTGCCCCAGGAGACTCAAAGGCAGCCAAAAATAGTAGCATGTACGTAAATGAGAGCATGGCTAGCCTGATGTAACGTAGGACAAACACATGACAGGAAAGTCCCTGTACCAGCATGGGTGATGCCCCATGACATCTCAGCAGACATTTATACCTCACTACTTGTAGAGAGGAAGAACAGAGCAGGTGAGAAAAGTCAAAGTGGGACTTACCCAAAAGATGAGGTTGAAGACGAACATCATGTATTTTAGACAGCACAGGCAGCCTCTCGCCATGTTGCACTTCTTGAACTCTAGAAGGAACACAAAGGATAGATCCAGGTAAAAGACCACGTATTTGCTGCCTTTCGGAGCTTTGTACTTATTGCTGCCTTTATCGTCGGCAGCCGCTCCACTCTGAGCAGCGGTCTGTGCACGTGGCCCAGTGGACCCGTAAAAGGCACCGGCGGTAAAACCTCGTCCTCCGAACGGCCGTCCAGAGGTGGAGGCTTGGGCAAAGTCTGAGTCACGGCTGTCCACAGAGGGGCTACGGTGGATGGCGGATTCCTCACTACTTGACTTCTCCATGCTCTGGAACGGAAGCCACACTCTTTATTTCATTCTCTATCATGTCTCTTGGAATAGCACCTTGAACTTGCGCTCTAGTGCTCTAAAAAGTGTTAGTCTTTCTCTTTCACATAAAAAGATCAGGATTAAGTCAATCAGACAGCGGATTTGCAAAATCGCTCTAGTGGATGTGACAGCTTGCCCGGGAGCCTTGCTGTAATATCCAGAAGCGTTACTCCCACAAGCAGGTGCACGTTGAGTGAAGCTGAAGTTTCAGCAGTATTCCTTCACCCTACGTCCTCTCAAAAAGAGTGTCCACCCCCAGCCCAGGAAATGTCCGGGTTTGGTTCAGCTGCTGCTCATCCCACACTCCTGCCTGCTGACCTCAGCTCTGTCTTTCCACGAAGACTTGATGAGTTCCCACAGCCTTCTAACTTACACCCCCGTTCTCCTCTCGGGATTTTGCGCTCCGAGAGACTCTCTAGATCCCTCTTTATAATTTTTTTTTTTTTTTATTCTTGCTTGCCAGAATCAATCACGCTGCTCTGACTTAACCAGTCTCCGGCACGACATGCTTATCCTTGCTCCTCTCCTCCTCTCTCTGTCTCCGCTCTCAGTAACTGCTCTGGTGCTGATACATGCTATTATCAGCAGCCGCATCTAGTGGGCATTCCCTCCCAACCTAGCGCAAAGCTCTCACCTCTCTCTCTCTCTCTCGCTCCACTCAGCCCCTCCCCTGACTTACAGACCACCAATAAGGCAGCAGCTGTTGGTTCTAGCCCCTCCCCTAGCCAATACAGCAGATTTAATGTGCTTATCATCACTGCTTTATGCCTATACAAGTTCAGCGCTGTCAACTGTGCAGGCTAGCCAGAAGAGAGTCTGTGAGGGTAATGATGAATTAAAAAAAGTCATGAGCTGATGGTGGAGGAAGGGGACGGGGGTAGGGAGGTGAATATGAGACCGAGCACGCGGCTGCACATTCGACTAGGGCATGGGGTTGTGGAGATGTTAATAAAAAAGAAGCTTTAGAGTTACAATAAGTGCAAAAGTAAGTCTAATAATTTAATAACCAAAAAAATGTTTAGATAAACCACCACCTGCATTCACTGGCTTTTCAAATATAACTGATATCTAGAAATATGTGGCAGTGACGTGAAACATTTTTAAAGGTTGGTTTTTGAGTAGTGTTTAGTATTTTAAAAAACTTAATCTATGCCCCACCTATGCAGCGCAAGAAGCACTGGTAAGTTGCCAGTGCATCAGTATCAGGGATTATAGCACTATTTCAAGCATTGACATTGGATAGTATGCATATGTTTTATACATACTGTACAGTCAACTGTAAGACAGTAAATGTGCACGGTTTCAATTTCCACTAAAGATTTCACAAGTCAAGACAACTGTCAAATAAGCAATTTGTTTGAATCAAAATCTGTCTCTTACAACTAAATGATGTGCTGGCTGCAAGTGGACATCTGATAATTAAAAAGAGAAAATATTATTTTAATTAGCTCAATTTTATTACATTTGTTCCATCAGATTTATTGCCCTCACATTGTGCATTATCAGGCTCATCCACAGTGGTAAAAATGCACCATCAGAACAGCCTTTAAGCTTGCTATGTCCAAATTCACTTGAAGAATATCCAATAAAAATCCCTTTCTGAAGAAATGGGTGTATGGCATTGAATAAAAATGCCTTCAAACACGGAAAATGTAATGAAACAACTGCTCGAATAGTTAACATGGTTAAACCAAAATTAAACAAATATTACAATACTTCATTAACAGCTTTTTATAATGCCTTTTTAGACAAACAGTAACACTTCAGTTAAATAATTTCAAGTGAAGTTTTACAAACTAATTTCAAGAGGAGCGTGTTATATGATCAATCGCCGCTGGTATTTCATCTGTAATCAGCAATAATCCAATCAGATTGGTCCAAGTCTACAATAAATAGACCGATTTCGCCCTACTGCATTATTTTCTACTGTCTTATTTTACCAGGGGGAGCCCTTGAGACCTACCTGATCTCAGACCACCTTATATGCTTATTGACCAGGCGGGACCCCTGGAATTATCTCAGTGCTCAGGGTTCTCTCCCAAACCTGCTAATAGCATCAAGCAATTTCTAAGTGTGAACTCTTGAATGCATTTTCCAGCTAGGCCATTCAGAATCAGCATGAAAACGTTTTAAAGTGGTGGTCCAGAGTGTGTTTGTAAGGCTTGGTTGTGTTTATGGGGTGCAAAACAATGTGTGCTCAAGCTTCATTTGTAAAAAAATAATGTTACATACATCTTATTTTGATTATATACAGCTGCTCAGCTAACATAAAATCGATTATCATATTTCCTAGTTTATCTCAGAAAGTCCGCCCTCAAGAGGGTCTGATTGGTCAGCTAACATAATGCGCAGATTGACTCCATGTCACCAGGAAAAGCGTCATGCCTCTGCTCTACAAGCACACACTTTGCCTTTACTGTGTAAACACTGTTAATCGGTTTAGCTTTTAGCTATATCAGTTTGAGCCTGAATCAAACAGAAAATGAAAAGGACACAGATGAATCTTATGCCTGGTCTCTAAAATAAAATCTGACAAGTGTCTTTCGCTTATATTGAGGTTATTAGCATGTGTAAGTAATCTGAAACATATCTTGACATATCTTTTGCGTCAATCGGCGTCAATTCAGCACTAGTGAAGATTGTGGGTGTTTACAGCAGTTTGACAGATAAATATGATTTGTAGCTGAATTGTTAACGCTGCCAAATGGCATTTCCCGTTTTTACATCCTTGTTTACATACTTGCTACAACATACCATTAATGCTGGAAACTATGGATATAATAGATTAATTTTAACAAATTAAAATACTGAAGGGTTGTGGCTCACAATCCACAGATTCGTCTATTATGGTTGAAGCTGCTCCTACTTTGAAATGGTTTTAGCAAAATCCAGCACTAAACTGGGAGAGTTCTGAAAGCTGTCCTTTGTCAAATGCTAGCTATACATATTTTTTTATAATTCTCTGGAACATAATTAAAATTAAATTTATTCAGATAAGAACACACTGAATGTTGGCTTTAGAGCCAGTATAGAGACCAAAATATAATAAAACATGGTTTGTGTAGGTGACTTTTCCTTTTTCTCTCACATTTTCATCAGAGTAGAAATCACCATAGACTAAATGGTCAGTATGCACCAATGACACATTTCAAGTTGCAAGTGTCAAACGGTTAATCTAGCTACTTAGATCTGAAAACCAGCCAGCTGCCATCGATCGCAGTTTCATCACAATACCACCTCTAATTTACCATGCCTTTTCTCCAGCAGATATCTATAGTCCTCCCCGCATTTAGTAGCATGATTCGCAGCTTTAAACAGCCCCTAATATCAATGCAATTGACAGCGCAGTGGATGGTCTTGATTGAGGAATCGGGCTTCATTCAAAGCTGGAAACCCCATGTGGAAAGCTCCAGAATGCAGAGCCTTTGAGGTTGAAGTCATCAGTCTGCTAATGCCTGATTCAATATCACCTGCGTCAATGCTGGCACGCTGGTTGATGGGCACTCATTTGGCCACCTCTCGGGCCATCTAGCCTTGATTCTGTCCTGAGCAGAGAGCACACGCTTAAGACCACATGCTGAACTCGATACCCACTGGAGAACACGCTCCAAAAAAAAAAAAAAAATTTTATGCATGTAAGCACACACACACACACACTCATGCATGCATGCACGCACGCGCGCGCGTGCGCGCACACACACACACACACACACACACACACACACACACACACACACACACACACACACACACACACACACACACACACACACACACACACACACACACAAAAGTTGTCTTTGAAGTTTGAGAAGTATGGCAGTGAGCCAGGAGTTGATGGGACTGTAATTTACTGTACAGCATTGAGAGTAGAGAGATGTTCAGTTATGGGGGGTGTCAATAGATCAAAATAAGGCAACTTTTAAATATATAGTTCAGATGAATTAGCAAATAAAATATATATATATATATATATATATATATATATATATATATATATATATATATATATATATATATATATATATATATATATATTCACCATAGTTGAATTTGTTACTTCTTTTGAGCACAAATTAAGATATGGCACTCAATTACTTTCATAGTAGGTATAAAAATGTACGTTTTAAGTTTTGAGGTACCATCAACTGTTGTATGTGGTTACCCACATACATAATATTCCGTTTTCTGTCCAATAAAGAAACTTCTATAGATTTGAAACAGGTAGAGAAGTAGTAAATAATAGTAAATAATTTGAGCGAACTATTATCTTTATTTAATTTTATATTTGTTATATTTTTAAGCATTTTAACTCATTTATTTTGGCATCATTTGATAAATCTAGCAAAGTTAACCACCAGATTGCACTATATATATATATATATATATATACATTTTGATTCAAATGGTATTTATATTTCAGCATTTTTTATACTTTTTTTTTGCATTAATAACATGTGGTAATGTTGACATCCATATAGTGTTTATACATACTGAACAAAAAATAAATAAATAAATAAAATAAAAAAATAAAAAACATTTTACATCATTTGTGCCCTTTTCAACTTTGCATCTCAATATGCGATTTATTACCTGAATATGCTAAATAATTTCTCATTTTAAAAGGTTTTCCTACAAATAAATAATATTTATATGCAAGAGTAAATAATGGTTTCAATAATGGCTTATTTTAGTATTGAATATAAAAGATAATGCAGACATTTCTTCATTAAATCAACGTAAACTGTGAAACACTCTGTAATAAAATCTATGCAATCTACATGTTTTTCATAGTAAATATAGCTAAAATTACAATATAAATGACCAAATTGACAAAACAAAACTTATCTATATCCATATCCAAACGTATCCATATACATTTCAGTTGTAACATTTGAGTTTACGTACCAATTCTTACTTTAAAGTAAAGCCTTATTACCTATTTAGTATTATATTGGCAATATATTGGCTGTTTATTTGTACTAATGAAGTACATATTCTGCATGATCTAATTTTACATCCCTAATCCTATCCTTAATAAGAAACCCAACTACTACTGTACAAAAGTCATATCCAAGTTTTAGGAACAACAAATAATAACTTGACTTCGAGTTGATTGATTGGTATCAGAAATGGCTGGAAGTCAAAGGTCTCTAGATTATGCTTACTTTACCAAAATAAAATATGATCATGCCTTGATTTTTTATTATTTAATTAGGACAGTGAGGTTTGACTTTGCTTAGACAAAAATCTTGTCACTTACCAGAAATAATGCACAGTACAGTATAGAAAATAGTCATGGTGCAGTGGATAAATAATTAATGTTGTGCATGACTCCCATAAGCTTAGAGGACTGCATCCATACATCTCTGCAACGACTCAAATAACTTATTAATAAAGTAATCTGGAATGGCAAATGGATTCATCTTCAATGCCTCCTCTTTCATTCTATCCCAAACATGCTCAATAATTTCCATGTCTGGTGACTGGGCTGGCCAATCCTGGAGCACCTTGACCTTCTTTGCTTTCAGGAACTTTAGGAGGCTGAAGTATGAGACGGAGCACTATTCTGCTGAAGCATATGTCTTCTCCTGTGGTTTGTAATGTAATGGGCAGCACAGATGTCTAGATACCTCAGACTGTTGATGTTGCCACATGCCCCCATAATGAATGTAACCCCAAACCATGATTTTTCCTTCACCAAACTTGACTGATTTCTGTCAGAATCTTGGGTGCATGCGGGTTAAAATAGGTATTCTACAGTATTTGTGATGATTGGGATGCAGTTCAACAGATGATCATCAGAAAAAAAATTCCTTCTGCCACTTTTCCAATTGATCAACTAGACGTCAAGTTATTATTTGTTGCTCTTTCAACTGGGATCGACAACAAGACTTTTATCAGGTAGTGTACCTTAATAACTATTAATAATAAACAAGTTACT